CGGGGAAAGGGTCCCAGCTCCCTTTGGGAGAAGTTGACCCGAGGTTTTGCCTCCTGCTCCAGCCCTCCCCCCTCCTGCACAGAGCCCTGCCTGCCCGGCCAGTGGGTTTACCCCGGGGCTAATCCGACAGAGGTGGGTCTCAAATCACTCGTGAGACTGGGCACCTGGGTGGGGGCGGGGGAGAGGCGGGAAAAGGAAGGGGTGAGTGGCCGAGGGCGGGGCCTGGGGAGGGGGCCCAGCGTGGCAGCCGCTGGTGCCACTCAACCTCCGCTGTCTCCGCTGCAGTCCTCCCAGAAAAAGAGCTGCGTGGAAGAGCCCGAGCCTGAGCCTGAACCCACCGAGGGTGACGGTGATAAGAAGGGGAATGCTGAGGGTAGCAGTGATGAGGAAGGGAAGCTGGTCATCGACGAGCCAGCCAAGGAGAAGAACGAGAAGGGGGTGCTGAAGAGGAGAGCGGGAGACATGCTGGAGGTAACTGCTGCTTGCCTGGGGCCTGGACCCCTTGAGCACTGTTTATTTATTTATTTTTATGAGAAAGCAGGATTTATTGAGAGGACAGAAAAGCCCCCACAGTGGGAGGGAACCCGAAGAGGTTGCCTGAGCATTCTTGATGGGCCATCCCCTAAGAGCAGGGCCCCGCCCCAGGGGCGCCCAGTCTAAGAGAGTGATCTAGCCCCCAATCTTGGGCAGTCCCCAGCTTAGGAGATGGGACATAGGAGAATGCATTTCAGCTGGAGAGGGCTGGGGAAGGACTGTGGGTATCTGCCTAGGAAGGAGCCCCAGAGGAGTGGAGTGAGGGCACAGGTGTTCTCCCTCTCCAGCCTCAGCCCACCCCGTCTCTGCCAATCCTGCCTAGGACTCCCCTAAACGTCCCAAGGAGGCAGAAGACCCTGAAGGGGAGGAGAAGGAGGCAACCACCTTGGAGGGTGAGCGGCCCCTCCCTGTGGAGGTGGAGAAGAATAGTACCCCCTCTGAGCCTGGCTCTGGCCAGGGGCCTCCTCAAGAAGATGAAGAGGAGGAGGAGGAGGAGGAGGAGGAGGAGGAGGAGGAGGAAGAGGCTGCCAAGGAAGATGCTGAGGCCCCAGGCATCAGAGATCACGAGAGGTGAGTGAGCCCCTGCCCCCTTGGCAGCTAGACTGGGAGGGCCCAGCCATGTGCATAGGAGGAGGAGAAGGTCCTGCAGTGGTTAGCCTCTTGGGGGGCGGGGTGGCCTCTCCCAGGATACCGGCACTGGCTGGGGTGAAGTCAGGCCAAAGCCACACCATTAACCCTTCTCCCCTCAACCCTCCCCTGCAGCCTGTAGCCACCAATGTTTCAAGAGGAGCCCCCGCCCCGTTCCTGCTGCTGTCTGGGTGCTACTGGGGAAACTGGCCATGGCCTGCAAACTGGGAACCCCTTTCCCGCCCCATCCCGCTCTCCTCTTCTGCTCACTTTCCCTACTCCAAGCTCAGCCCCTGGAGATAGACTGGGTGGGGCAGGCCACCTAGTCCTCACCTCTAGGGTCCCTATAACCCTGTTATCTGAGTCAGGGCCATGTCTTCTGCTGCCTGGGCTGGGACGAGGCCATTGCGAGACTTCCTGCTTGGAGCTGTTTTCTGGGCTTCTGTTGGGGCCTAGGCCAGCTGTTTCCACCTCCTGGACACCCTTCTCCCCGTTCCCCAGGCATTCTGGACCTCTGGGTTGGAATCAGGGGTGAGAGTGGAAGGGACAGAGCATAATCAGCAGAGTGGGCTTCTGGGGCCTGGAAGGGGCAATCCTCAAATTAGGTGGGAGGTAGGAGGGTGGCATCCTCTTGAACTCCTGTCCCCTCTTACACCTATTATCCCAGCTGCCTAGATTCAGGGAAAGTGGAACAGCTTACAGCTTGTGGGGGAGGGGCTCCCTTCCATACATCCTTGGTGATTGACTGACAACCCATTGTTTCTCTGGTTGACCCCAGGAGTTCTGGGAGTTGTAGTTTATCATCAAAAGATTTGGGGGCTTCCAAGTTGTTTGGGCCAAGGACCTGAGATCTGAAGGGCCAACCTTAGCCATTTGGGTGGAAGTGTTAAGGAGCACCTGTCACCCTTTAGATCTCTGGAGCCAGAGATGGGATGCCTGGAGAGACCCCTACTTCACTTTTCCCTCTTCCCACAGTGCTCAAGGCCAGCTTACAGTCATATATATCACCCAGACATAAAGGAAAAAACACATTTTTTAGGAAATGTTTTTAATAAAAGAAAATTACAAAAAAAATTTTAAAGACCCCCCCCCGACCCTTTGTGTGCTCCTCATTTTGCTCCTTTCTTCCCCACTGTTGTCCCCACTTCTGAGGTGCACTGGGAGGCTCCCCTTCTTTTGGGGCTTGATGACTTTTTTGTAGCTGGGGCTTTGGTGTTCCTTCCAGTGTCATTTCCCATCCACACACCTAGACCTAGTCCCCTCAGTGTTGTCACCAGATGAGATCCGATTTGTAACCCACTGAGAGGACAGAGGAAAATAAGTGCCCTCTTCCTAGTGGTCTCTCTATGCCTCTCTTCCGTCTCTTGTCTCTTGTACCCTGGCCCCTCTCCCTTGGGCTCTGATGAAAAATTGCTGACTGTAGCTTTGGAAGTTTAGCTCTGAGAATAGTAGACGATTTCAGTTCTAGGACAATAAAACCCGTTGATTACTATATCGGATTCTGGCTGATTCTTTGGGGGTGTATTGGCTAACTGAAGAGAGGAAGTGGGGGAAAGGAAAGCAAATGACTTCTAAATCATCTTAGATTGAGGTAGGGGGTGCCAGCCTCCTCATTCCCTGGCTGTTGGAAATCCAAAATTCTACATGTGGGCAGAGTACCAGAATAAGCCACACCATTCATTCTTCTGCCCAGCCACTGTTTAACACGGTTACTGAGCAACTGGGAGGGTTTTAAAAAAAAAAGTTTGCATAAAAAGTGTGGCGTGCGAGAGTGCTAGTATCGGCCACAGCCCATGACAGCCATGGAAATGGGAGTGTTTGGGCTGGTTATAGAAACAACTGTGATCCCAAAGGGCAAGCAAAGAATAAAGAGGACGACCCTTTCCCCTTGCTAATGCTAGGGGTGCCTGCCCCCCTTAACTGGTGGTGCAGTCGTGGGGGAGGGGGTTGGTAGGGTGAACTCCTGCAATACCCTTCTAGTTAAGTGGAATGAGTGGATTACATCATCCCTGAGGTTCCTTCCAAATCTGACATTTTGTGACTGGATCATCTAGCATTGGTAGGCTCCACATTTCAACCCCTCCCCTAGAAAGCCTATGGCAGTTTTTTAATCTACCCCGGCCCCCTCCAGCAGAGAAGGACGGGAGACTATCGACGTTAGTCTTGCCGGAAAAGGGAGGCTCTTTGCCTTCAACAGGAAGCCACAACCACCTAGAAAATGGAGCCACCTTCGCTAGCAACTGCAATTCCCAGCGGCCTCCGCGAGAGCATGCGCAGAAATGCCAAGCGTATCTGCCTACCCGTTATACCCTTCGTTCCCGACATGCTTCACGGCCTCCTTGGTTTCCTACGCCGGCCAGATTTCCTGTTTCCCGCTTACTCTATAGCGGCGGACTACGACTCCCAGCATGCTGAGAGAGTAAATTTTTTTATTGAGCTTCCGCTTTCCAGTCGGACTACATTTCCCAGAAGGCGGACGGGCGGGTACGGGGGCGCTGAGGGCCCCTGTGCCGCGGTGACAGCGGAGGCTGCGAGGTGTGCGGGAAGTGGAGGTGCGGGAAGTGAAGGTGAGGGCCGCGCGGCCCGGGGGTGTAACAGTTCCGGGGTTCGTCCGGGAGGCAGGTGCGGCAAGGGCCCGTGCTTTCTCCTGGCTGGTCCAGTCGCCTCCCCGGGGTTTCTCTGTACCAGAACCCTGGAGCGGGTGGGTGCTGAAGACTGCTGGGGCCTGGCAATGGCCGGGATAAGGGGTCGCACCCGGGGTGGGGCTGTTCGGGTGGCGTCTTGGAGCCGTGACCCGAAAGGGCAGGTTGTTCGATCCCACTCCTTGCAGGGCGTCGGCAGAGCACGCAGTGAAAGCCCTACTGCGGAGGGGGCAGCAGACTCTCCAGACTGCCGGGGCAAGATGAGAAAGGGGATGGGGGCGCGTGCAGGCTGCTCTGGTCTGGGCTGGTTCATGCAGGAAGCAGGAGGGTCTTGAGAGTGGCCCTACTTTTGTCCAGCTGTATGAAGGAAGGCAAGGCGCTCCAGTTCTCAGGGTCTTGGTGTCCTTGTGTCCGAAAGGGACTTTATGCTTGCACCTGGCAACCTCCCTCACGGGGCCATGTGAAAAGCAAATGCAGCCACTGCTTTGCTAAACCATGGTCTGATCATATAGCTCCTTGAGCCAGGTTGCCTTGTTTCCTAGCCTTGGCACCATCCCCTACCTTGGGGAAGCGAATCTCCTCTCTCTCTCTCTCATTTAGTTTTAAAATAAGCTATACTTTCCAATCTAAAAAGAAGAAAAAAACTAAGTGCTAGTAATACTGAAATTCCCGGCTCTGGGTTTGCCACATCGTAGTGCCCATCCGTAAGCTTTTGTCGAATTGAAAATAACTGCCGGGCTCGGTGACTCAGCCTGTAATCCTGCGCTTTGGGAAGCCGAGGTGAGTAGATTGCCTGAGCCCGCGGGTTCGAGACCTGCCTGGGCAACTTGGTGAGACCTCATCTCTACAATAAATCCAAAACTAGCCGGGCGTGGTAGCGCGCGCCTGTACTTCTGGCTACTTGTAAGGCTGAGTGAAAGGATCGCCGGAGCCCAGCAGGTCGAGGCTGCAGTGGCCATGAACGTGCCACTGCACTCCAGCCTGGGCGACAGAGTGAGACTTCAACTCAAAAAACAAATAAGAAAGAAAATAACAGTAGGCCTTTTTTTCCTTCCGTACAGAGAAGTATAAAGAAAAAAAATGACCCAATATCTCACTGTTCATATAAACCCGTTTGTTTTTTTAACGCACGGGTTAGAAAATGCAAACATGTTAAGGAACAAAATGAAAAGTAACAGCCTTCTCAAACAGTTTCTGTCCCCTAAAACAAGTACTTTAGTTTCTCGTTTCCTTGCCATAAATATTTATGCCTATGCCAAATATATATTTTTTAATTTACCCAAAGGGGATAACTCTACTCACATTATTTTGCACCTAACTTGGTTAAAATATTAATAATAATTTAACTGACACCTACAACCATGTAGAATTTTATGGATGATGAAACTGAAGCTCAGAAGTTAAGTGATTTACCTTCAGTGGTACAGGAAGACGGTTGGGGGGGGCGGTTGGCAGGGACTAAAACCCAGGTGGTCTGACTTCCCAGTCCTGGACTCTTTATGCCATTATGGTATACTTTGTATATGAAGTTAGGGTTCATTCTTGCCTATAAAATGAGGTTTTCCTTAGGCTTAAATGAGATGATATAGGAAAGTACTAAGCATGACACCTGGTAGTAGCAAATGCTCAATACACTGAAACACTTATTTTGCCCTCAGTTCATTCACAACCCCATTACTTTAATCTATCATCCAGAACTGAGAGGCTTAAAACACATACTTCGTTGGAAATTTTAGGACCCAGTACCCTAGATTCTGGCCCTGGGTCCTCTTCCTTTAGAAATGAAGCTCTCGGCCGGGCTTGGTAGCTCAGCCTGTAATCTTAGCGCTTTGGGAGGCCGAGGTAAGTGGATTGCCTGAGCTCGCGGGTTTGAGACCCGCTCGGGCAACTTGGCGAGAGACCTCATCTCTACAATAAATCAAAAATTAGCTGGGCATGGTAGCACGTGCCTGTAATTCCAGCTACTTGGAAGGCTGAGGCGGAAGGATCACTGGAGCCCAACGGGTTGAGGCTGCAGTGGCCAGGAGTGTGCCACTGCCCTCCAGTCTGGGCGACAGAGTGAGACTTCAACTCAAAAAAAAAAAAAGAAGCTCTCTTAGGGAGGTATGGTTATTTTCTATCTGATGCCTGTTTTTATCTCTGCTATTAATTTCACCTTACAGCTGTCTACCTTTTGGCAGGCCCTGTGCCAGTGTTTGTTCCATGACTGTTTTCTTCCTATCCTGCTATTCATATGTTCTTTTTTTTTTTTTTGGTAGAGGTGTGGTCTTGCTATGTTGTCCAGGCTCAAGCAGTCCTCCTGCCTTGGCCTCCCAAAATGCTAGGATTACAGGTGTGAACCATACTGCCCAGCCCCATACTTTTATTTCATAACTATTCACTGAATACTGGCCAGGCACAGTGGCTCATGTCTATAATCCTAGCACTGTGGGAGGCCGGAGCAGGAAAATTGCTTGAAGCCAGGAGTTTGAAAATAACCTGGGCTGGGCAACCTAGTAAAACCCAGTCTCCACCCCCCCAAAAAAAGAAGGAAATTTACTGGGTATTTGCTATGTGCCAAGTTCTACTATGATCTGCTGGATTCAAGAGTGAGCTAGATAACATGCCTCAGCGAATTTTTTGGACTTCGAGGTCATATCTATGTGGGTTTGAATGCTAATTTCCCGACATAGTAGCTATGTGATCATGAGCAAGTCACTTGACCTCTCACTTCCTATAAAGATAATATCATCTTGTCAGGATTCAATGGTTTTTTTGAGTCAGAGTCTCACTCTGTTGCCCAGGTTGGAGTGCAGTGGGACGCTCACAGCCACTGCAGCCTCGACCTGCTGGGCTCAGGCAAAGCTTCCACCTCATCCTTCCAAGTAGCTGGAACTACAGTTGTGTACCACCATGCCTGGCTAATTTTTTGATTTCTTGTACAGTCAAGGTCTCATCAAATTGCCCAGGCTGGTCTCGAACCCCTGAGTTCAGGCAATCCTCTCACCTCAGCCACCAAAGTGTTGGGATTACAGGCATGAGCCACTGTGCCCAGCCCAAAGTGCTTTATTATTTTTTTTGAGTCAGAGTCTCACTCTGTCACCCACGCTAAAGTGCAGTGGCACACTCACAGCCACTGCAGCCTCAACCTGCTGAGCTTAGGCAATCTTTCCGCCTCAGTCATCCAAGTAGCTGGAACTACAGGCATGCGCCACCATGCTCAGCTAATTTTTAAAAATTTATTATAGAGATGAGGTCTCACCAAGTTGCCCAGGCTAGTCTCGAACCCCTGAGCTCAGGCAATC